GATGAGTGAGGGAAGAAGAGTGAAAACGGAGGGGAGGGAGGGGCGTTGTTGTACACCTCGTGTGACCACGTGTGGCACCTCCTCGCCGCGGGGGCAAGCAAAGGGGTCAGACATGAGCGAGCGAAGGTAATAAAGGCCCCCATCTTCGTAATCGCTCTCCCGATGCCCCCCACCTCCACGACGACCACCCCTTTCCTCCTCATCCAAACTTACACCCCGACTGCGTGACCTTCCCGTTCGTGCGCCACGACGCGGACGACGCCCCCTAACCCTTCGGTCGGTGCCAGCGGGCGCCAGCACATCGACACCCCCCCCCCCCGTCCTTTTCTTATTCACCACGGTGCCACTGGGTGCCAGGATCAGAGCCTGCGGCAGTAAAGTCATAAAACGACGCTATGGCGGTGGTGTCTCCACGCCGCTCGCCTCCTCGCGCCACTCTCCAACTCTCCACCGCTCGGGCCACACTACTACAACTACTACTACTCCACTCGCTTCTCGCGGAGGATGATGCGGTGACCATTTGCCTGCTTTGGTACCAAATAGAGGAGAGAGAGAGGGGGAAATAGAGGGGTACGCACACACACACGAGGTGCGAGCGGGTGAGAGAGAGAGGGCAGGGAGAGAAGTGACTCACGCCCCGGGACGCGACGTGCGCTGCCGCGGCCTCTGTTGTGGCTGCGATTGGGTTTGTTCAGCGCCGGGCTGGCTCGGCTGGCAGGCACGCCCAACACACTCACCGCCGCCTGTCCCGACTCGCACATGGACAGCGCGACCATTCAAATCCAGCAGCAGGCCCGGGCCCAATCTAATCTCACTCTCTGTCTCGCCGGCCGAGGGGCGTAGCTCTCTGTACAGCGAGGGGCGCGGCTGCGGTCGCGAGTCCTGCTGCTGCTGCTTGTCACGTCAACGACGACGACGCCCCCCTCGGCGCGGCCGAACCATCGCGTGCAGGAGGAGGGGGAGGGAGGATGACGCCGAGCGTCGCAATGCGGACAAGCGCTCGCGGCGGCGATCCGCGTCCGTGGAGCGGCGGCGTGCCGAGGCTGGGGCGGGTGCTGGAGAGGTGCTGGAGAGGTGCTGGAGCGGGGCTGCACTGGAAATGCAAGTGTGTGAATGTCGCTCACCTGCAGGTGAGCGACATTTCTTTCGTACACTTGAGGGGGTAAACGTGTGAATTTTTTCACACCTTTACCCCTCTAAGTGTACGAATGGAATGTCGCTCACCTGCAGGTGAGCGACATTCACACACTTGCATTTCCAGTGTGGAGCGGGGCTGGAGCGGGGCTGGAGCGGGGTTGGAGCGGGGTTGGAGTGGGGTTGGAGTGGGGTTGGAGCGGGGTTGGAGCGGGGTTGGAGCGGGGCTAGAGCCGGGCTGGAGCAAGCTAGAGCGGGGCTAGAGCGGGGCTAGAGCGGGGCTGGAGCGGGGCTGGAGCGGGGATTTTGGGGCCACCAGACCGAGCGCCTCCCTGAAGTCATTCGCACACGGTGTACTGTATGTACATGTACCGTGCCGTAGAGTCCTGCACCCACGCTTAGCAAAGCGAGGCAGGAAAATCCGGCCCGCGCACCATCTCGGAAAAATCCACTCCGGCGATACAATCCGGGGGCTCCGGCGCCGTGGGGAAAAATGAACAGGTCGGGGCGAGACGGGAGAAGATGGCTCCGAGGAGACAAGCGAGCACCGCGCGGGAGCTAGGGGCGTGATGGTGCGCAGTCTACTGCATTTAGAGTGGCGGAAAGTAGAAGTCTTGAAGGATCCCTTAACTAGTGGGGAACTCTTTAAATTAAAATCTCAAAATCAATTGTATAATTCAAAAAATTATGTTTGTTGGGTTTTATTTATTTTATCTCGTGCCTTTTGTTTTAAACCGCCCAGCGTGGGAAAGACTTAAGATAACAACTTCACCTTCCCGTGTTCTTTCTGAGAATCATCCCGTTTGACCCTCTACCCCGACAACCTGCGGTGGGGAAGTCCCCTCTCATATTCCACTGCACTTCGCCTGGGTGAGCCCGCGCACTTGCACTTCGGCTAGATGAGCTGAGCGGCCCCCCGCCCATCTATGCTGCGCCGCCGGCAACAACGCCGCGCGCCGCTCGCGTGTTTGCACGAAAAAGCGCGAGTCAATATTGCTGTTCGCCGGGGTGGCGTGGCGCGGCGCGCGAGGCGAGGCGTTCGCTTGTCCGTCCGGGGCGCGCGGACCTTGGCGCGGCCCGCGTGTACACGGTGTACGTACGGACGGACAGACAGCCCAAAGGCGAAGAAGGCACGCCCCGACACGCCCCATAAGCACGGTCAAAGATATTTCAAACACGTCGTGCAGGAATTTTTTCGCGGTTTCAAATTGTAAGATTACAAATAATTTCAGACACCAAACCCATGACATTGGTAGATCTTAAATCGTGAATTTACGATACTGACCGTTTGTATTTCAATCGTAAACTACAATAAAATCTTGCCATTGAGTAGAAGATAATTTTCAGAGTGGCGGGTTGGCGGATCGCTCACCCAACCATCCTCGCGATGATGGGGCGTGGGTATATAACGTTAGCGGTTTGTGTTGTGTGGGGGGGACCTCTCTCACTGCGAGGTTAAGGTCACGTTGCGCGGTCTCCAATAACCAGCCGATGTAACGCAACGAGGGAGAGAGAGGGAGAGAGGGCCGGGCAATAAAAAGTACTCCACCGGCCAAAAAGTGTTTGGTAAAGTACCTACCCGCGGGGGTCTGGTCTAGCGCACGCCGGCTGCCGGCTGCCCGCATGGTCCGGCCGCGCGTGGGCCGGGGCGGGAGCGCAGTGGGCAGGCTGGCGGGCCATTGTGCGCGTGTGCACTCCGTGCAAGTGCCTCGTGGCGTGGTGTGGCGTGGCGTGGCGTGGCGGGGCCATCCTTCAAAACAAATCCTCCGCACATGACCAGACCAGCTGGCGGCTGCTGCTGCTGCTGCTGCCAGCAGAGCAGAGGCCGCCGTGCAGTTATGCACCGCGCCGCCCCGCAGCGCGCGCGCGCTGTGCGCGTGTGCACTCCGTGCAAGTGCCTCGTGGCGTGGTGTGGCGTGGCGTGGCGGGGCGGGGCCATCCTTCAAAACAAATCCTCCGCACATGACCAGACCAGCTGGCGGCTGCTGCTGCTGCTGCGGCTGCCAGAGCAGAGGCCGCCGTGCAGTTATGCACCGCGCCGCCCCGCAGCGCGCGCGCGCCGTGCGGGTCTGCCTACCCGAGCGTCCACGGCGGCGGCCCCACCCGTCCGCACGCCGATTTGTCGTCGTGCCCTCCGCGACGTGACCCCTCGGCGGCCACCTCACGCCGTTTTACCCGGCGTGCTCACCGCGTGTCACGTGATTTTACGACGCTCCTCCCCGCCCCCCTGGTGTCCCTGGTGCCCGCGGGCCCACCATGCACGAGGCGTGCGCGGCGTGCCAAGGCAAGGTTAGGTCCTCCGCCCGTCCGTCCGTCGTCTCGTCTCGTCTTGCTTTTCCCGTCACGTCTGCCTCCGCGCACGCCACGCCACCGTCGCGTCACCCGGGAAGAGGCCAGTACATTTTGTCTCAGTGGCGTAACCGAGTGTAGAGGGGTTGGCCGTTGGCCTGCCTCGTACTCTCTGTCCGCTGGCACACGCCCTGAGCGCCAAAGACGACAAAGGGAAGGAAGAATTTTCCCCCAAAAAAAGGCTTATTTCAAAACTGCCACTGAACTTGCTGACAGTATTATTCCCGAGGAATTCCATCTTTACAGATGGCCTGAGGATGCTGAGGTCAGCAGACCATTTTCCGTAGCTGGATGGCACGAGTAGTACGAGTTCAAAAGTTTCAAAAACTAAAGAAAGGCCCAAGTCCAAATCCATTCCTCTTAGGGGAGCAGAGAGCAGAGTAATTATTTTTAGTTAAAACGGAACATGGCATGCATCCCCTCCTTGCCTGATGACCCAAAGGTAATTATATGGACGGCAAACGGTTCTACCGGTGGGGCAGACAGGCACCAGAACATGCACTAAAGTATGCAGAGCGGCCGTTTTCATACTTGAGTTATTTAACCGTGCACTGACTTGAAGTGTGCTTTCAATGCAGTATAGAGTTCTGCACACCCAAAGTGCACCGGGAAAAGCTATTAGTCCCTATGACTAAATTCGTGTTGAAGGAAACAAAATTTACTCCCTGAATCCAACGAAACGTTTAATCAAACTTTTACAATTAAATGTGATCAGCTCAACCAAAAATATTGTCAAACTGATTACTTTATATCGACCTGACTAAATTATCCAATCAACACGATTGAAATTTGGTCGACGAAAACAAAATTTCGTTGGTTTTCTCAACACTAAATTTCGTTGAGTTGAACAACCGGTTTTCTGAGTGTGTAAATAATCCCGAACGGCACAGATTGAAGGTCATCTCGTATCTAATACGCAATATGTTTGGAACTACGGCCATAGTTTGGTGGTCACAGACCGGAAATCGGCGTTTCAGGGTTTTTACAATGGAGCGCCCACTCCAACCAACCAAAAGCGTTGGCAGTGTACCAATCGACCTACTGGATAGGAGAGTCAGCCAGGGCTTTAATGAGATTGTCAGACGGTTCATGAAGAATGCGTGCACTAGGGGCGTCGTGTACCTAGTCGTTGTAACCTTAAACTTTCCCTAATTGAATGCCGACCCGAGCCGGCTGAGCGGCGGGGTCGGGCCATGGGCTGCTCGGGAGGGGGGAGCCCATGGGAAGCCTCTGGGAGCGCTATCGGCCAAGCCATCGCGACGGCATCGGATCGACTTCATTGATTTCCAAAGTCTTCCGCACGCTCACTGGACGCTTGCTCTGCTCACGCTCCCGTGTCGGAGCAGGAGGCGAGCCTTCATCATACGAACCCCCGCCGACCGTCTGAAGTTTGAAGATGAGACAGAGGCGATAGGAAGGGGGGCAGGATGGCATAAAAGGGTAAGCAGGCGGCGCGGGCGG